GTCTCTTCTTTGGTTTTCGGTTCCTTCGCGTTCGATTCCTTCGTGGTCGATGCCGGCGTGGTCTGTTTGGTAGTAGTCGATTCCTTCGTGGTCGATGCCGGCGTGGTCTGTTTGGTAGTAGTCGATTCCTTCGTGGTCGATGCCGGCGTGGTCTGTTTGGTAGTAGTCGATTCCTTCGTGGTCGATACCTGCTTTTTCGACTCATTCGTTGTCGACTCCTTAGTTGTCGACTCCTTCGTGGTCGATGCCTTGATTGTGGGTACGGCAGTTATCGATTCCTTCGTTGTCGACTCCATAGTGGTCGATGCCTTGGTTGTCGCTTCCTTTGTCGTCGATGCCTCAGTAGTGGGTTTGGCAGTTGTCGTTTTCTTTGTCGTCGATTCCTTCGTGGTCGGTTCAACCTTCGACGTAGAATAGGTAGTATTCCTTTTTGGACAACGTCCTATCATTTCGCTGCTTCGAATCTCCCATTGGTTTAACGTAAGTCCTCTCAGACATCCGAGATGTGTATAAGAGACAGTACATGTACCTTATGTGCACTAAAGGTGTGACGTCGTCCCCAATTACGTTCGTTTGTGTTTCGAACGAATCGATTCTCATCAGGACGTGCAGATAGTACCTGCTTATGCCGTAAGAGCTCCACTCTCCTATCGCGGTGCGCTTCGGACTGGTAATTCGACGAGGCGTGGACCCCGTCCGGAATAATGCTTCCACGAAACCGTCTTTAAGATATACGGACAAGGCGTCACCGCCCTTGCCGTCGTCGACGTGGAATATTCTCCCCTCGTCGTTATAGGCTTTCAACGAGAAAGTCATCCACACCTGGGTGGTGACATCCGTTTCGTTCGCTTGTCGAAAGAAGTTGTAACCGGTGCGTTCGTCCAGAAAAACGGTCGAGGACCCTCCGTCGTCCGTCCTCGTAACGCATGGTGCCAGTCCCGGTAGTACGAAGATGCGACCGTTTATCTTCAAAGGGGAGATGCATCCTTCGATGCTCTCGAAGTCTCCGACCGTTCCCATGGAGAAGACACCGTCGAGGATGAGGTGAGTGTACATCCCTTCTATCCTCTTCCATTCAGACGGAACTGAGTCCGTCGTTATTCGCACGGAATCTTCCTCGAATTCCAGCAAGATTTAGTGCCACCGACCGGTCGACAGGAGGCGTTTTTCGTTGCCGTGAAACATCCGTCCGGAACCCGCGTTCATGGACACGCTCACGTATCCCGACACTAGTCGTACTGAGACGTGGTCGTTTTCCCCCTCTGCGGTGAACACGTGTCCGTCGAGTTCATCCGGTTTGATGGAGAACGATATGTTTTGAACGCGGCCGACGGTGGGCATCAGGGATTTCATGTCGCGTATGCGGAAAGATCTGTCGAATCGGTCCACTGCTGGGGTCGAAGGTCTTTCGGTCGATTGAGCATCTGTGGTCGCGTTGCACTTTTCCAAATTATCCGGCTCGACTTCATAACCGTTGACGATCAGAGAACACACCTTCCCCGCGGCGGTCACGTGGGCTTCACCGTTGCTGCCCAGCATGTACATACCTTCGCAGAACTTCGTTCCGTTTCCCACCGCGAAGGGCTTTGCCAAAGTCGGAATCCCGTCCGTCGTAGAGAATATTTGGTTGTTTCGTATGTGGTATGCGTATCTCGTCCTGACTCCCAGAGACGGAGTTGGAGTTATCGACTTGATTTTTTCGTTCTCGAAATTCAATACGTGCAACCTCATCTCGTCGCTGGCGATTGAGATCCTTAAGCGGAATCCTTCACTCCCTACGTACCTGAATATTTTTCCGTCGTCCGTGTTCGTTGTCGTGTAATAGAAGCCTCTTATACACATCTAGATGTGTATAAGAGACAGCGTCCAAGGTGGGCCGACAGGTCGAAGTAGGAACGCTGAATGTGAAACATGTGTCGTTTCGTATATCGGCTACAGCGTTATCGTTCTCTTCGATCCTCGTCGGGCATTCCAGAATGGCTGATGAATCCAGCATCCATTCGTTCATGGTGAAGGTATCGATCACCCCGTTTGCCGAACGGTCCGCTCGTCCGAAGAAGAACACTCCGTCGGGGTGATCGTCGACGACGAACACAGCCGGCATCACCGCGTGCGCATAACCGCAATATTCGGAATTCAACTTCATAAAGCGATCGGACAGACGAATGGTGTATCTTTCCGTGACGTTAGGCGCTACCGAGTAAGGACACCTCAACCTTGCGAACGTTCCTCTTTCAGTTTTGGATGTCGCCAACAGTGTCATCCTTCCGCCCCATATAGCCACGTGCAAGTCGAAGTTCGATCCTTCGTACAGCAGAAAGTGGCCGTCGTTCGGGTCCGAGCGCGTGTACGAGAACGTCACTTTTATAAATGGAAGCTGCGTCACTTCGTCTTGCGGAACAACGAAGTAAGAACACGCGCCCGACCCGATTCTGATTTTTCTACTAA